TTTTGCGCCAATAACCCATTTTTTATGTGCAAATAGAAAAATCCTCCATACCTACCATTTTAAAATCACTCTTTTGATTTTAAAATTTAGAATTCAACTGAACCAATGTTACATAGAATCAAATCAAATATTAGTTCAGACCCATTCTAATTTAGTCAAGTAGTCCCGTCCTAAATCCCCGTAATCAAGGTGGGGACGAAAACATTGATTTGTGCCGCAATTTTTTTTAATTTTTTATTTTAGTAAGTAAGAATTTCTAAATCCCTATCGATGACTTGCTTTTCAAAATTTCTCAGAAATCGTAATGGCCATCCAGTCCAAAAGTTATTTTACGTATATGTGAGTATTATTAAACTATCTCGTCTTTAAGCTCATCTTTTGATATGCCGCTTGTTCACATATAAGCGAAGCAATTTTTTTATAAATTGGTGACAGCAAGACTCAGTGAGACGTTTTAGCTTGATACTAGTTAATCATCTCATCTAAAAGTATAAGATGTGAGAGCTACATCTATTCATTTGAATCTTGTCTAATGCGCCTTTGTGTATTTATGCATATATTGAAGTTGTAATAACTGGCCTGAGGGCTGAGAGTATGGAATAAATGTATTTTGTTATTGATTGAATTATTTAGGCTGGGGTGACTTCATCTCTCAGCTAGTCCTCGAACCTTGATTCATCTAGTTTTCTTAGTCATAAGTTCAATTGTTTAAATCCATATCACGTTTGGGCCTATACTTTGGTCTGGACATCTTCCACTAGTTTGGAGATGGAAGGATTGCCTCTCCTTTTATAAGGATGCTTATTTGTCGTTATAAAAAGATCTCTTAATTCCACGAAGCAAAAAAGGAAGCACGAGTGCCCAAACTCCAATCAGAAAGGTTTTTGGCCTATCTTAATGGAACTCCTTAAATCTAGTTGTAGGGCTGATATATCATACACATATCGGACTACCAAAATAAAAAGCATATCCATCCCCCAGTTTCATCCTTCTCTTATCTATTAGTTCATTCCATCCATGCGAAGTTACTAGTTCCTGTATTCAAAAACCTCTTCCAAAGTGTTTTTAGCAGCAAATAGGGATGTGGTAGTGGTTTCCCTTTTTTTCACTTATTCTATTTCTTTATATAGAGCCTGTTTGGTGTGCATTAAAATGAGAGAATGCATTTTTTTGAAGTGATGTGATGAGGAATATGTGGTTGAAAAAGAAGGAAAAATTATTATTGTGATGTAAAATATTATTTTATTGAATAATATGTGGTTGAAAATGAGTAGAAGAATGAGAATGAAAAAAATAATATGGTTCAAACAGAGACATAATAATAACAAATTCACAAGTCCCACTAATTGAAAGCGCCTATAATTAGTTCCAAGAAAGTATCTGTTGATGGTTTTTTGTTCATTGGTGCAGCTATTTAATCGAGCTTTTGGTAAGGAAGGATATTTGTTCGAGTAATGGTAACATGATTGTTTGTATATATGTAACAGTAGCATGGTTTAGGAAAACGTGAGTTAAGCTTGACTTGCAATGAAAATGGAATTGAGAAAATACAACTAAAAATGGACAAGAATATTTACGTGGTTCACTCAATTTAAACTACATCCACAAGAAAGCATATGATGATTTCACTATAGTAGGAGAATTATAATAACTCTCTCTGAATACAAGGAGATAACAATAATTAATTTATCTTGTAATAGGAGAAACTAAGTAGGAAGCCCTCATGAGAAAACAATAGTTATCTCTATAATTTTATGTATCTCTCTACTCACTATATATATACAATTGTTGCTACTGCACTGCAAAGCATTTTTTCCTTCAGCTTCATCTTGTATTTATAGTAAATTTGGCCACCTACCATATTAATTTTGCTTCAAAAAGGTCAACAGTAGCAGCTGATTTTCTCTCCTGAATTACGGCTGTAGATTGAGAAGATCTTCACCAAATGCAATTTTCTCAATTTAACATTTAATGTGAGGGTGGCCATGAAGAGAAAAATTTGCATGCCTTTGCCTAAGTCATTAATCATCTTTTCCAACAATAATGGCTTTAATATTCCAATTCATGTGTACTATTAAATCAGTCATAAATATAATCACCATGGATCGTATCTAATCATGTTCATTGACATTGTTATTGTGTTAATATGTATCTGCAATAATAGCGCACTTCTTCAGGTGCTCATGGTAAGTTTTTAGGTCTTCACCTAGACCCCAAAGGCTGGGGATGGGAGGGTCATAAACCTTACCTCCAACTGTTCAATAGGGGTAGCAAAAGAATCAAGTATAGCACATAATCCTGCCTCAAAATTAGAACAAATCTCGAAGTAATAATTAAAAATAAATGCAATCATGCAATTTCCATACTTATCCCTCACAATCCTTCATTGTGTAAATGCTGCAAACTTCAGAAGTTCACTTTCAGTTTACCGAGTCTGATGGCCACCTGTTGGGACTTAATATTTTCTCTTAGGTTGGCAGCGGAGAGTTCTAACTCCTTAAGTGTCTAATATAATTAAGAAATAGTAATTAATGCTGGTTGGAGGGCTGAAAGCGTCCACCTCTTGTATATATTACAGTTCCTGAAAATAGATGAAGACGCATGAAGGGTGAATAGAATACTAGGTTCTAGTGCTCATTTAGATTCAGAAGGATCTGGATGTAACAGCCTCTTCGAATTCCATCCACTGTCAAAGGCATCCCAAGACACAACTGGTTTGATTCTCAACATTAATATACTCTAGTGTCGGTTGTGGTATATCTCTTCATGCCTAGGCATATGGGAAGAGAGTCACAAGTGACCTCTGGCATGGCTATACAACTTGGGGTTGGGCGTGTCACTTTTCACAAGTTATGTAGTAGTTATTGATTAGGTGGCTCATATTTTTGTATATGGG